TGACTCCCTATGAAGCTCAATACGGAAGAAGATGTTGTACGCCCTTGAACTGGTATGAACTTATGGATCGAGAAGTTATTGGTCCTGAGTTGATTCAGAATACGGAAGAAAAAGTTCAAGTAATTCAGAATAATCTGAAAGCTGCAGCTGATAGACAGAAATCGTATGCTGATTTAAAAAGAAAGAAATTGAATTTCAAGTCGGAGATAAAGTGTTATTGAAAGTGTCTCCGTGGAAGAAAATATTAAGGTTTGGACGTAAAGGAAAGTTGAGTCCTCGGTTCATTGGACCTTATGAGATTACTAAGAGGGTAGGATCAGTAGCATATCAGTTAGTTTTGTCACCTGAAATGGAAAAGATACACAATGTTTTTCATGTCTCAATGCTTAGGAAATATAGATCTGATCCATTTCACATTGTGACTCCTGAAGAAATTGAAGTCCGACCAGATTTAACTTATAAGGAAGAACATGTTCAAATATTAGCTCACGAAGTCAAACAACTAAGGAACAAGACTATTCCATTGGTTAAGGTCTTGTGGAGGAATCACAAAGTAGAGGAAGCAACATGGGAACGTGAAGAGGACATGAGGATTAAGTACCCCTACCTCTTTGCATAATGAAAATTCGAGGATGAATTTTCTTAAGGGGGAGAGTTGTAACATCCCAAACTATGAGTTAGTAACTTAATTGTAAAGTTTTAGAATTTGGTGATTAAAGTAGAAGAATTGATTAGTTCAATGATTTATCTGGAAATAAATCCTAAAAGTTGTTAGTAATTATTAAAGGAATTAAAAGACAAAATGGTCTTTTTATCTAAAAGATAATTATCTTATCTCTTTATTAAGAGATAAGCATGTAGGGAGATATTTCTCCAAAACTTCTTCTCATTCTTCTTCCTCTCTTCCCGTATCTCCAAGCTCAAAGGTGAGTCTTCTACTTAGTTAATTATTTGTTAAGTTTAAGATTGGGTTTTGATCATTAGATGATAACTAAGCTTAAGGAAAGCTTAAGTTATCTTAAGATCAAAATATAAAGGAGATAGAGAAGATTAAAGGTTAGAGGTTCTTGAATGAAATCTTGGAATAACGTTCATAACTATAATTGAAAGTTATATTTGACTTGTCATAAATCTAGTTAAGATATACGAAGTGTTAAAAGCGGAATTCAAACATGTTGATTTATTAATGTAATTCTTGAATTACATATGAAGGATAGGATTTGAAGGTTTAAGATGAAATAAATGAGTATAAATTGGTTTAAGGATGTGTACTATAGTTAAGAATGAAAAAGAGGATTAAACATGAAGGATTTAATCCAAAATGAATGAATTTTCGGGTTCAAAAAGAGGATTCTGGGCAGAGTGCATCGATGCACATTCATAGTGCATCGATGCATCAAGGTTAAAACCCAGAAATTGTTTGAAGGTGTATCGATGCACTCTTTTAAAATAAAAACATCGAATGCAATTCATGCATCGATGCATAAGTAGTGCATCGATGCATCCCATTAATAATGAAACATCGAATGCAATTGGTGCATCGATGCATAAGGAGTGCATCGATGCATCCCAGCAATAATAATACATCAAATACCTTTTATGCACCGATGCATCAGTAGTGCATCGATGCATACCTTCATTAAAAGATGAAATTGGCTTTTCTTTTAGTCTAAAAAGTGAACCATTAGAGTATATTAGTTATAATACTGATATAAATCCATGTGTGATTATGTAGATACTAAAAGTAAGCTTATTCCAGAACAATCAAAGGATTAGAATCGAATCAAAACAAAGCTAAGGTGAGTGCATACTATATGTATATTATAATGGAATAAGACTTGCGATAAGTCTAATCCCTATGTTGATTTTATAATACAGTAGTTGTGAACATGCATACATGATAATTATTGTGATACATGCGTAAGACATATATATGTTCATGTGATATGACATGTTATATGAGAACATGATTTGAAGTGATATGAGATACATGATCACAAGAGAAAGGATATGAGTACATGAACATATGAAATATAAGAATAATGCCCATAGTATATGATATGAGAACTATAGGTGTAATTGGCATGCCAAGAGTCGAGGGTATAATAGTCCTTCGGGATGTAGTCCTTCGGGATGTAGGGGTCCTACGGGACATAGATAATAGTCCTACGGGACGAATACTGAACTAAGGTTCGGTGCCCCATGAGGGAATTGATACGAGCTATGGTGACAACATTAGTGCACAACCTCAATGTACTCACATACCTCTATTCTCAATAATATACATGGGCTATACAATTGAAATACCGATTTATAGTGAAAGCGATACAAGAAGGTAAGTTTCGTATGTGCATTATATGTTATCCTGCGATAGATACCTGCATATTGAAATGTCATGATCCAATGGTAAGTATGAACATTCATAAGTTTATTGTTGCATATTCATTTATTGCCCCACTAAGTCTATGACTTAGCGTGTAAGTGATTTACACGTAAGTACCAAGAATCAGGAAAAGTGGAAATAGAAGTAGCACGGACATCAATACTACTAAGAGATCATATCAGAAGTAATTGACAAAGTATGTACTTGGTTATGTATAGAATGTTGGCATGTAATATGTGTTAATTACGAATACTCTGATCGATTTTGTATTTTATGGTCTTATGTAAATTAAAGTATTTTGTTTTAATGAAAGTTTTAAAAATTCCTGGGATTTTCTATAAGAGTCAAGGTTTTGAAAAGTCAATGTGACACCTCAAACTTGTATTCGGGTCGGATATGAGTTAAGGGTGTTACACCTCCCGCCCAAAACAAGTATACACTAGTGGAAAATGAAACCATATCTCTTCAGCACCACGTTGTATCCTCTCGGGTAGATCGCTAGTCATGGTCTGAAGAAACAAATTGGTCAAGATAGCATCTCCACCTAGATGTTGTACTTTCATCCATGGCCCGAAACAAGTATTCTCAAACAAATTTCTTTGTACAGGTGTAAGTGTCGACGTAATTGTAGTGGGCTAGGCTTAATTTATTCCTTAAAGTCAATGAAGCCGAAAAAAATTCCTAACAAAAACAACAAACATACCAAGTTAGATATACCAAAACTACAAATTATACACTATAAACAAATATGATATTAAACAGGGAAAATATAGCCAAATATGTTTCAAACTAGCGCGGTATTCGCTCAAGTCATTATTTTATCATAGTTCACAAAATGCATCAGATAACATTCCAGAAGTAAGCACTTATATAAACATTTAAAAGGACAACATATAGGTTTAGTGCAGGTTCAAGGACAACATAAAGAGTAGTAGTTTATTCTTGAAACTTAAATTCGCAACACTGTGAAGTTAGTATTTGTCTTTGTTTTTTGGTTGAAGTAATGCAATTCATTCAAGTTTCAATTTGCAGAAGAAGAGTCATTTTTGAAACTTAAATTCGCAACACAAAAATGAATTTCACATTGCGATTTTCATTTTCGCGTTGCGAATTTAAGTTTCAAAAATTATTCCTCTGCAAATTGAAACTTGAATGAATTGCATTACTTCAACCAAAATACTAACTTCACAGGGTTAAAGACTAAACAGTATAGCAGTATTGACAGCAACCGAATGAATTTACTAAGCAATCTAAGTGAAATTGTTAATCTATATATTGAAATTACCAGTAAATTTATCATCAATTTAAATATGAAAAATCTAATAATAATACAAAAATTTCAAAATAAAAATAATTAAAAAAACTAACCCTCGGTGGTTGATTTTTCATTTTTGGTCGTGAATGGTTGTGAGGGTGGCTCTGAGAGATGGAGATAGAGGGGGGTCGTCGGAGATGGGGACGGATGTCGCCGTAGACAGTGAGAGATGGAGATAAGACTGAGTTGTGATTTAGGGTTTTAGGTTATGAGTTACGATTATACTGTTTACATTTGTGTTGCGAAACTAATATTGTGTTTCGAATTCAAAAATAAAATTCGCGTTGCGAAAATGAACGCGCTTTGTGAATTTGACTTTTGTGTTGCGATTTACAAATTCGCGTTGCGATTTACAAATTTGCGTTGCGATTTACATATTCGCGTTGCGAATTTGAAAACTGAGTTGCGAATTTGGAACCTGTGTTGCGAAATTAAAGTTCACGTTGCGAATTTATTGGTCATTTTCACAAATAAAAAAAAAATCAGTTAAAATCGTATATTATAAGATATTTTCGGTCACTGGAATTATTTTCTCTAAAAAAATCTTATAAATGACTAGAATGAGCTATTATCCTACATAAAACTTTGATGGGTTTGACGTAAAAAAAATCCGTCTAAAATTTGTTTTCTTCTACAAAAATACATTCTTCAACTCATTAATAAGTCTTATTATCGTTTCCTTTATATCATACTCTGAAGGCCTTATTGTATTAATGATATATCATAAAGCTAAGACGTATTAATAACATGCTCATAAGACGTAATAATAACTTGAAGGTCTTAGCATTATCTTATAGAAGAGTTATATCCATTTTCTTAACTTTAGACAGGTTCGATATAACTTGTTTGAATTCGAATAATTATATAAAACAAAATCTTATCTTATTTTCTATCCAACCCAAAAGTAAATAGAAATTAAATTTGGCAGTCAGTTATTAATTCTCTGTTACAGTGCTACCATAATTTCAACTTGAATGATCCACCACATTCCATTTCTACCATAAAAAAGTTTACACAAAATTCCAAAATCTTCCACACAAGATGATCATGATCATGAGCACATGGTATTTTGATGCTTCTCACATTCTCCTCACGTGTAAAATGTTATGTAGAAAACAAAAACAAAAAAGGGAATATTACAAATAATTACACAAACACCGTATGACATAAGAAAAGATATTAAATCATGTAAAACTTTGGCAAAACAAGTTTTAAAATAATAAAAAAAAGTTCAAAAAAATTATCCAAAACACAATAACTGATCCATTTGAAATAAAAAAAAACATGGTAAACAGGCCCTTGCATAGATACAACATCATCTTAATTATTATTTTTTTCAATGGCATAACACTAGAAAGAAAATTTAGCTCATCTTAGCATCTAACAACTCATTTCCCAACAAAACATGGCAGGAGCCCTTCAAAACAAATTGGATGCTTTGAAACCACCTGCAAAAACTATGAAGTTGGTGCCCAGATTTTATATTTATAGCTCTATCATAGTCACTATATATACATATATAATGTGAAATTGATAGCAATGAACTTACTTTAGAAGGGTGAAAAAGATAATATGTGTCATGGAAACAGGGGCTGGTAGAGAAGTCCTGTAGTCTCTGGAAAACCAAGCATTATATTAAGGTTTTGTAGTGCTTGACCCGAAGCTCCCTTCACCAGATTATCGATCTGCAGAATGGGGTTTTTTCAAGGGCTCAGAAAATAATGGGAGGAGATCAGAGTACGATGTTTCCAATCAGGTATGATTATTGAGAAATATACATACAACTGATATGATTATTGCTCTTCCAGGTATTCGATCAGAAAAGATGTTCATTAAACAATAGTTAGAACCTCGAATGTTATGAGTGCGAGGCACAACTCCCTTGTCTAACACCTTCACAAATTCTTCATCCTGAGGGGAAAAAAGAAAAGTAAAACAAGTATTCAGCCACATGAAAGGAAAACAAGTATTCAGCCGCATGCAAAGGACAGCCATTGAGAAACGAGACAACGCATCCTGACTAATGAAACAAAGAATAAAACCAATCATGCCATATAAGATATACCTTGTAACATTTTCTTAATTGCTGGTATAAATCCTCAATCGTAACTCCTTTAGACATTTCTACATATATTGTTGATTGCATTCCACGGATCTGACATGGCAATTAAAGAAAAGGGAGCACAGTGATCTAAATTCTTTTGAAAGGAAAAACGCACAGACATTAACACTGAAATGCAGTTGATTACAGGTCTCACCATTGGCATTAGGTGCGGTGTGAAACTAACGGTTATTCTTGATTGTGCAGCATCAGATAGTCCCTGTTCTATTTCTGGAGCTGAAATAAAAAAAATCACAGCCTCAGGTTTATCCAAAGCAAAACTTAGGCCTCAAAAGTTGTTGTGAAGCTTTCCACTTCCATAACTATCATAGTTCCATAAAAAATGAAGTAGAATTAACAGTTCTAAATTTTGAATAAAGAATACCACAATATTATTATATGATGTAAACAACTAAGAAGACCTCAAACTCAAGATGCATTCGAGTCTATGCACTGACCATGGCGATGTCTTGTAACACCATAGGAATATATGCCTTCAGCTATTTCAGAGTATAAATTTGCTTCTTTGGATCCGCGTCCTGAAAAAGCAACCTAGATCAGTAAAGAAAATAAAGGAATGCAGCAAGAAACAGAAAATGTTTTCAAGATGTGCATGTAGATACAGAAGACAATGAAGAAAGACAACCTGCTCCACTCACACCAGATTTTGCATCAATAATGATGTTTCCATGGTCAATGAGTTTAGCCTACAAGTCAAATGCAAGTAAGTAAACATAGGATGTCCATATTATTAGCTAATGATAGGTTCAAAAGAGTAGCATCAACAATACAGCAGTCATGCAAAAAAGATGTTCAATATTCAAAGCAGCATTAGTATAGCCTCCATATCAACAAAGATTATAAAGATTGGCTCCTCAATTCAATAAAAAGCTACGTGAAACAATTTGAGAAATAAGATAAGGATATAAACCTTTATCAAGGGAACAAGTGGAAGCTGAATTGATGTCGGATAGCAACCAGGATTAGCAACTAGGCGTGCACTTTTTACTTCCTCTCGTAAAATCTCTGTCAAGCCATAAACAGCTTCTTTCTGGAATATGGTGAAAACTAACTAGTTAACATAAAGAATAACATAGAAGAAATAAAAACATGAGAAAATTTTGAAAATGAAAATTACAGTAGGAAAGGATAGAAAAACTAATGAAAAAAATTGGTTGGCATAGAAAAATTTAACCAGAATATACAATCAACAAGCTCCAGTGAATTATAGGAAAACACATGTGCTACAGAGAATTCTTTCAACTAGAACTTGCCATCATGCATATAGAGAAGGTGCAGTAACTCCTTTATACTGTAAAAAGTAAAGGATTTTTCTTGTATTTGGTAAATAATGATAGAAAAGAACCTGCAAGTCCGTAGCACTATGTGGTTGACCATACCATTCCTCATACTCGGCAATATCTCTCAGTCGAAAGTCCTGAAGATCATTTCATATTACATTACATAATCATACAACTTTAATCCAGGCATGTAATACTACCTTTCGAAGAATAGAAATATAAGTGAATTAAAAGCATACTGCAGAAAGATCAACAATCTTCAAATGGCTGGGAAGGCCTTTGATGATTTCCTAAAAAATAATAAAATAAACAAATTGTCTTGAAAACTGATAAAAATTACTCAAATTTTAAAGTACAGAAGAAAAACTGACAGGTAAGAAAATTACAGAGCACCTGTGTGGTTCCATGAGGCAAACAACAGAACACAGCATCCACATTGGAAAAGTCTGCATCCTTAACCGAAACCAGAGTCGGCAGATCCTGCAGAAAAAAACAAGGGGACTCAACAATTATCCTAAAGAAACAAAACAATGGCATGCTTCAACACCCACAATTGATTATTACGACTAAAGTAAAACCCATTCATGCCTCGAAATCGAAGCTTGTTTTCAGGACATAGGAATAGTATTTGCTTACTTGTGTTGCCAAATGAGGAAACACTGAGCCCATAGATTGGCCGGCTTTTCTATCAGCAGTCATCAATGTAATACCGAAGTAGGGATGGTTAGCTAGGAGCCGAACAATCTGCGAGAAAATAACAAAGAATCAACCAGATTTTTTACCAGTTAACAATGAACATACATACGCATAATTCATAAATCATAACACACCTCAGCTCCAGTATAACCACTAGCACCAAGAAGACCAATGTGGACTTCCTTTTTGTTCTTTTCTGAAGATTGCATGCATTTTGCTGATAATACAAAGGATCCTCCTACAATAGGCTTTACTCTTTGATTCCTAATCTTCGCTTCATCCTAAAATTTTAAACAGCCAAAGTTAGATTTTTGGTGGGTAAAGAAAAGAACATATCTTGAAATTATAAACTTTGATTTCGATTCATTCCCAACACTTTTTAGCAACAAACAGAAAGCTTTAGATTGAACACAAACGTACCTTTCGTAAAAAACCTTGATTGAAACAAATTGAACTGAAAGTAGCAGTGCTCATTTTTCTAACAAAATTCTGCCACCCAACCCCCAAAAGTTAAAAAGGCCTAAGATTGATGGTGTTTGAATTCTATAGAAAAAAGGGCCAGTGAAATTACTTCAAGGGAAAAGGGGATGATGCTTGAACAATTAAAGAACCAAAACCCTAGAAATTCGAGAAAGGGTTATCTTTGCCTGTTACTTGAAGGGTTACCTCTATTTGATCTTACAAATTTTAACATAAAAAACTATTCCACCTAAAAACTCGACAACTTGATTTTGAGATAATCAAAAGGGTAAACTATATAAATGGTTATTGAATATAAATGGTTATTGAAGTATGAATATATTTATTTTTAGGGTAAAGTATAGTAATGGTTATTGAATTTTTCTAAAGCTTTCATTTAAGTTACCTAATTTTTAAAACATACAATACAGTCTCCCAACATTTAGTTTATTTACAAAATGGTCCCTCAACATTTAGTGTGTTTGCAAAATCATCCCCGACCGTTTGACGCCGTTACACTGCCGTTAGTATGTTTGCAATATGGTCACTGAACTTTTCAGGCGTTTGCATTTAGGTCTCCCAACTTTTAAAACTTGCAACACAATCATAAATTTCATTATACACTCCAAATTCCTTTTCGATTTCAAATTTCCTTTTTCGCTTCTCTCTTCTCATTTCCAGTGTAACTTTTCAGTCGAGGATGCATGAGAAATTCTAATCTAACTTTGAATTATGTGGAGGTGTTAACTTGAATAAGGGTCCATTGAGAGAAGATGTAATACCCCAAAAATTTAGATAATGACCAAAATGCAAATTTTGAAAGTTTGATGGTCAAAGTTAAAACTTGGGAAAAGTTTAGGGAATTAAGTGATAAATTTCCTAAAAAGATTTTTATTCCATAAATATATGGTTTACTCTTGAGATTAGAGTTTTATGGAAATCATATTGTTGGATTTGGAATTTAGTAAAGAAAGAGTTAAAGCCGGTAAGGAATCGGTAAATTCTGATCGAATCGGAATTTTACAAAAATTTGAAGGATGTTATAAAATGGTTGGAAATATTATTGTAATATTTTGGATCAGAAAAATTTGGTTTGGAATTGTGCAAATTTTCAGATTAAACCAAAACTGTGAAATTTAGTGACTAAAACGCAAGTTTTGAAAATTTCAGGGCATTTTCGTAGGTCAAAGTCAAATTAAATTATATTTGACTTTGTAATATCAGATGGCTTGGTTTTATGGTGAATAAGAATATTCATTAAGGGTGATTTGGTCTTTTCTCAAGTGAATGAATATTTTATTTTATTATAGTGGAATATAATTCAAACAAAGATGAAATGCACTCAAAATTTCATCTAAATTTGCTATTTTCTTTTCCAGCCAACGTGGGCTTCTCCTAAGGTAAGAACAAAGCTTCAATTCTATTTTCAAGCCATTTCTTTAGGATTATGAGTATGATGAGAATAGAAAATGGTTATTTGCGAAAAACGCTATCATTTGGTACCAATATTGCATGATTATCTTGCTTGATTTCAAAATCCCCAAATCTAGAAATTTGGGTTTATACTATGGTTGTTGAAATTGATGATGATTATTGATGATTTTGAGGTTGTATGAATTGATGAAGAACATAAGGATTAGGTTAAAGAAAAACAGTGTAGATTTTGGGAATTACACTAGGTTCGAAAATTCACCAGAAAATATATAAAAATAATTTGGAGGTTATTTTTATATATTGTGTTCATATATGGATATAGTTTTGTTTAAAACAAACGGGAATCAATTTCAAGTTGTATACAAATATATATGAATTTTTAACTGAGAAAATGTCAGAAAAGTCGGACAGCAGAATTCTGTACAAAACAGATTCTGTTGGTGAACTTTGAAAATTCACCATAAATTGTACATAATGAATTAGAATGATTTCTTTATATGGATAGATTCGTATTTGAGTCTAGTTTTTAACAGAAGAAACGGAATTGAATTCCAGTGTCTATATCAATACAGAATAATGATTCTTTAAGGGTAGTGCGAGTTGTCTGAATTCTGGAAAATTGATGGGTTGTTGTGTAAGTGTTATATAATTGATGTACTATGCTAGAAATTGTTGTTAGGGAATTGAAATGAGTGTTAGTTGTGAAATAATTTCAATGTTGGAATTATTGGTATTAAAGAATTTAAGTGGTAAAATGGTGAAGGACCATTTTGTGTAAATTGGACAAGTTGGTTCCAATGTTAAAAGGAATAATAAGTATTATGGATTTATTTTGGGATATGTTTATGTTAGTAAAATACTAACATATGTATCGTTATGAAATTGTAAATTATACAGATTATGATTGATTTGCAATTGAAGCAAGTCAAGTACAAAAAGGGTATATTGTGGACAATAGTGAGGCTCATATATTTTGAAAGACATAAAGTGTCAAGGTGAGTGCAATACATGCATGAAATTATACATGGATGTTTTTATACATCATAAGGAAGACTTGCGATAAGTCGACCTTGTTTATATCGGCATGATTTTATATCATTTTTTATAAATTGACATTGATATGTCAGAGTATGAAATTAAAATGCATTGATCACTGATTTTTGTATATGATTTTACCATGAATGTTATTTCGGGTATGAACTGCCCCATTGTTAAATATTGATAATATACTTTGCCATGGATGAATCAAATAAAATAGACTGTATGCCCAAGTCAGTTATTGAGGGACAGGGTATAGTTGGCATGCCATAGAGTCCAGCAGCAGGCTGCATATTCGGGAATACACTAAAGGATACCTAGTGTATATGGTGGGCACGACCTTATGTGTCATATTCGGGACTGTACTTAAGGATACCTAGTACAGATGGTGGACACGACTTTATGTGTCATATTCGGGATAGCACTACGGTGCTTATATTTGACTCGTGTACCCAGGGTCCTCAGGGTTGAATATTGGGCTATAGGCTATGGGTTATGGTTTATTGCTTAATAAATGGTAAGCATACAAATAAGCTTACGAGCTTTTGGAATAATGGCAAGTATATGGGTAAAATAAGCTTACGAGCTTATGTAATTTAAATGGTAAGTATTTTGGTAAAAATAAGCTTACGAGCTTATGGGATAAATGGTAAGGGATTTTATATTAACATAATGCTCATAACATAAATGAGGCTACGATGGTGGATTCTGAGGTTGCGTTTTTTGTATCATCAGCATCATATCATTGAGTCGTTTTTCAAATTCTTTACATCTCTGCTGATATATTACTTCTCTCTGTTCTGCCGCTGCCTCTCTCTGTGCTGCCGCTGCTTCTCTCTCTGCTTCCGCTGCTGCTCTAGCTGCTTCCGCTACTGCTCTATCTGTTTCCCTTGCTTCATTTTCCGCTTTCAAGTTAGCCATTTGTTGATCCATCTCAGCCAACTTTTCTTTTAAACGACCAACTTCTAATTGGGAAGATCGAGACTGTGATGACATGTACTGTGATGAACTGGATCCAAAATATTTAGTGGGAGTAACGAATGATCCTTGACAGCGCACCCGACCATATCTTTCAGGACCCAAAACGTCATTAATAGCTTGGTTTTCAATGTCATCATCATTAACAATACCTTGACTCGAAGCAGTAGCATGATACTCTGCCCTTTTCTCCCTCAATTTTTCCTAATAATAAAGTGAATAATTAATTAAAATAAAAAATATCATGGTACAAATATAAATAAAGTCAGGTAAATTTAAAACATCTACCCAATAAACGTACCATAATTTCTGCAGCGTCAGCAGTCATAGGAGTGCCATCCTTCTTCGTATGTGTCATGTCGAAGAGTTGGATTCGACCAACTTTAGAACCGGATGTATTTTCCTACAATGTACCATAATGTAATTACTATGAGTTAGTATGTACATGGAATACAAAAAACTATTTCAATAATCTATAATACCTCCTCATGAGCTATACAAGCAAAGCTCTTTGATCCAGCCGTGTGCGTAAACTTTTGTTGTTGCCTACTAGCAACACCAACATGCTCTCGGTCCTACAATGTCAAACAACCACTTATAATGATGATTTAAATTTTGTTACAAGTATTTATGAAAAATACATCATACCTGTCCTTTTTGAGAACTCCAAAATTTGACTGCATCTTCCCATTGGTACCTGAGCATTCCTGGTGGGACTGTTTGCAACTTCTCTTCAAGGCTGAGATCATTCTTGAAGTATTTCTTCTTTAAGGAGCTCTTGTGATCCCTCCATCTCTTCCCTAACGCTTGCTTCACATAATCGTCAGAGACCTCTAAAACAAATTTCTCCTATACAGCAAATAAGTGTGCACCGTAAGTATAAATTAGTATTGAATTTATATAGAGTATCTATTATAATGACATTATTACCTTAACAAAATCCAACGCTTGATTTTTGTTACTATTAGGCATTTTGCGCCATGACTCATAATTGATCGGTAACAGATTCGCATTACGTCCAACTATGCCTAAGTAACCTGCTAGAAGACGTGATTCTGGGCCAATAGGTTGACCGGAATCGTTTCTTGAAACTTTGACACGATGCCCAGGAGAAAGTTGGTATAATTCCTTTAAAGTTGTACGTCCTCGAGTCTTGCGCGTTCCAGCATTTTCAACTATATAAGAAATTATTAAATGTCAGTTTTGAAAATGAATAAAGTAGTAAATAAAGTTTCGAAGATTACCTTGAATTTCTACTTCTTCAACAGTTTCAGGAACTTTGGAAGACTCAGGTGCATTCATTTCCTCGTTATTTCTTTCTACATGGTCTTCAGAAGCTCGAACAACCCGTAAATCAGATATTTTTCTCCTCGGCATTATATCTGTAATAAACAAACATGAGTAATAAAAAACGATTTAATTAATGAATACATTGAAAGATAACATATTAAGGGTTATAACATTATAAATAAATAAATGAAGATATAAAATCGTACAACAGTCTTATGTAATGTCAGTTGTCATAAATATCTTCATCAACGTCCTCCCGAACCCATTGAAATTGTGTTGTATTACTGATAGTTTCATCTAAGTTTTGTGGTAGTAGAGGTAAACACTCTGATCTTGTTTCAATGTCATCTCTACTTCCATCCCCGATGTCTATCAAGTCTCTGGGAGTATTTCGAAGCACAATATACCAACCGTCATCCATTGGATCGTGACAATAAAATA